AGCCCCTGTGCACAGAGGAGCAGTGCAGGTGCACCACACTGGACACATGGGCAGCCCCTGTGTGCACAGAGGAGCAGTGCAGGTGCACCACACTGGACACATGGGCAGCCACTGTGCACAGAGGAGCAGTGCAGGTGCACCACACTGGGCACATGGGCAGCCACTGTGTGCAGAGGAGCAGTGCAGGTGCACCACACTGGGCACATGGGCAGCCCCTGTGTGCACAGAGGAGCAGTGCAGGTGCACCACACTGGAGACATGGGCAGCCCCTGTGTGCACAGAGGAGCAGTGCAGGTGCACCACACTGGGCACATGGGCAGCCCCTGTGCGCAGGGGTGGTTGCAGCTCTGGTTTCTGCCTGGAGTGCAGGCCCTCTCTGTGGCTCTGTCCTGGGTCTCTGGGAGCCCAGATCCGGGAAGGTCCTGGGGTTTTTAGCAGCACCGGGGGCTGATGGGCACTGTGGTCCCCTGGGAGTTGGAGCCCAGGCCAAGCCCTGTAATGCCGGGTGGAGGGGGCGTCTCTCTGTCCCCCAGGGTGTGCTTCAGAAGGCCACAGTTTTCTAAATGGTAAAAGCAGCGTTTGCCGCCGGGTACGGGGTGGGCTGTCACCGGCTCCTGACTCCAGCCCGCTCGCGTCCTTCTCAGCACAAACTTTCCTCTTAGATGGGCGTTCCTTTTCCAGGACGTAATGAGAAGTAAAAATTGTTTTCAACACCTCAAAGGCTCCTCCTTCCCAGTCCTTCTTCTTGCCCTTTGCTGAATTTCTGAAGAAGCAGAAACATTTATGGATTGTGTTTGTAGGTCACAAAATGGGCCAGTATTACCGAGTCTAATGGCTCTTATTCTGAGGAGCACTGCCCCTCCCAAGAGACAAAAATAGAGGGTGCTGGGGCCCCATGGGGCCGGAGGTGAGCTGGGGCTTTGGGAGCACTCACTGGGGGAGCTGGGGCTGTGGGAGCACTCACTGGGGAGCTGGGGCTGTGGGGGCACTCACTGGGGAGCTGGGGCTGTGGGAGCACTCACTGGGGGGAGCTGGGGCTGTGGGAGCACTCACTGGGGAGCTGGGGCTGTGGGAGCACTCACTGGGGGGCTGGGGCTGTGGGGGGACTCACTGGGGAGCTGGGGCTGTGGGGGGACTCACTGGCCTGGCCTGGGCTGCGGGTGAGCACCTCTGTGACCCAGAGCCATGCTGGGCACCCGTCAGCATGGTGGAGACCGGGTTGGTCCCCAGCGCGCATCCCAGAGGAGGCCGCCTGGCTGTGGGTGTCCGGTGCCCTCTCCCAGCGTCCACTTGCTGACCGGTTGGCTGTGTGTCCACAGGGGCAGGCCCCGTCAGCTCTGGTCCCGGGTCCCGTGCGGACATGCCCTGTGGGAGAGCTGGGCGCACACTTGACGGTAGGGCGAGGAGGGTTCCCTGGGCCGGGCCTGTCCCTTCTGCGCACACATTCACCGTCCTTTTAGAGTACAGCCTTTCTTTCTGGTGAAATGTAAACACCCAGCATAGGCCACAGTGGTTTTAGGCTCTTGTCAGCTGTTTTTGCTTGTGGGGCTGGATGAGCTGCCAAGCTGCTCTCTGTCTCCGCTCCCGCCCCATGCACGGCTCTCTG